CCCCCCCCCACCCTAGAAAGCTCTGTAATAAGCTTCAAGCTTCCACATGCAATGATGGAATTATAAATTCCTTGATTTCCTAAGGCTGACTACCTCCCATCATAGCTCAATTTCGYTGTGACACACTTCTGTCTTCTTATTAAAGTGCACTTCACTGAGCATGCAGAAGGGATGTTGCTATGTTTGTTAAGATGATAATTTGCATATTTACTGTGAAGCATACAGAGGCCCTCTATAAATATTTTTATGTGGGTCTATTCATACAGAGGGGCTAGAAATCTAAATATTACAATGCTTCTGATACACAGAGAGAAAATAAAACCCCAATTCACAATAGTGTCATTGTATTGTGAATTTTTATTGTAATAAATTATAGCAGTAGTTCACGCAACCCAGCTATTATCTCAGATTGTCTCTCTGCAGAATCACAAAAACAATCTGACTCATGCTGACTTGATTCATGTTCAGTTCCTGTTTGGGAAGTCTTCCCTCACCATCAGGCCGCCTGGTAGCATTTTTTTTTCTGTGAAATCTCAAATTTTGTACAACAGTCCCACAGCCTATGGTGGGTTTTGCAGCATGAATCATGGAAAATATGCATCCCTTCTTGTTTGCAGCTGGTTATTTTTGACAAAGTCCATGTGGAAGGAGAGCTATGCAATTTTTTCCTACATGGTATGTGTCTTTTTAGCACTCTGATGCAAATGGATTTATAGAAACTTATCAAACATATCAAAAAATGCTCAAGCATTTCAAAGAGGGAAAAGAAGTGGAGTTGACCCACAGAGCTGAGGTTGAGTATCAACCATTTCCAGAAAGAAAGTGAATTTGTCTTTATGAATAAAGCAAGGCACAAGAGGGTTGTTTCACTGTTTCTCCCAGGGTCCTCTTCATTGCCTATCACTAAATTCTTGTGAAACTTCTATTTGTATTTGTTGTGGCTTTCATTTCACCTACATATATTATATGTTACATGAATTAGTACATGCAGAATATATTATTTTAATTCGTTCRTGGAGCTGATTAATTAATAACTGCTGCTCTTATCTGAAGAGCATGAAAGCAGCAGAGAAAATTACTCGCACTTGCTACCCTTCCTTACATCATTTGAGAGAAACCTCTCTGAGCTGAAAATGCAGCACAATCACTTTATATAATACCTTAGACATTAAGTGAATAATAATGTGTGACTTCAGGGAAATGAAGGTCCTTGCAGAAGAGCAAGGACACTGGCTGATATTTCTGCAGTTGAAGAGTTGGGCAGTGAGTAGCTTTGCTTCTGACAGTGTCCTGCAAAGATAAAGCACAAATTTTACCATTAGCAACAGAGGCATAAAATCATCACTTAAAACCTTATGATGATTACAAATATTATGGTTACCATCTAAAATGAGGATTAAAGGAACTTTAGAAGCAAAAATTTGTAGTGTTTTGTCATTTGATGTTATATGACTGTGCAACAATTATTTATCCGGTGGGCAAAACTGGAATCAGGGGCAGAGAAACAAGTTGTTGGGTCTATGTGTGCTCTGGGCAGCACGCTTCACCATGGCAGTGGTGTTAAACTGGATATGCTGCTTCATGTCCAAGGCATCAGTTGAGTGTCAACTCCAGAAATAAAACTCAAAAATTAATGTAACCCCTGGGAATGTGCATTTTTGGCATGGAGGCCTGATTTCCTCTGTATGTGTGTTGAGCTCTGAAGCACAGTATTTGCTTCAGGCACTGCTAAAGATTGCTCTGAGACCAGCCAAAAGGCTGGAAACCATCTTGGGGTGGAAGTGGTAGGTGTGCAATCGTTTAAGCATACCAAGAAAAAGTTTAAGGATTTTGGTTATAAATGGTAAGTATTTACTTCAGGACTAATGCTATTCCAATCTAGCAAGTAAAGATGTAAAAAGATCTGGTGGCTAGAGCTGGATAAATGCACAGGATGAAAAGGCTACACATTTCAGTAGGGAAATACTTAGATACTGGTGTAAATTGCAAGAGGTTATTGCGGCTTTTTTACCATTAGCAATTTTTAAATTGAGAATAGATGTTGTTGGGTTTTTTTTAATCTAAAATATTTGCTCAAGTTTAAGCTGGATCAAATTCAAGCATGTTCTGTGTCCTAAATTATGTGGTTGGGTGACCACACAGTGACTCCTGGTTTTAAAATCTGAAAATCCTTTTGCTCTGACAAATAGGGCTGGAGGAGGTTTTCCTGTGATTGATGACTTGGATTCATGGATGTGTTTACTGGGGTCAGCATCACCTCTCTTCCTTCTGAACCAGCGTAGCACTGACTGTCCAGGCCGCAGAGCTGTGCTAAGCAGACCTGTCCTGCCTAGCCCAAGGATGCTCCTTTTTCACTTATTTCTCTCCTCCCAGGCTGGAACCCCACATTCCTTTTTCCGAGGAGCCAGGAGCCACCTTGAACCGGGGAACTTCCGTAACGCTTTGAGAGTAACCATTCACAAAGACCTTACAGCTCTGAACTACAGCACGCACAAAGAACACTTTTTTTCTAACAATTATAAAATGCTGCAGTAAGCTTTGATCCAATGAAACCCCTGTTAGTGGGAGTGGAGCTTTGTATGTTAGAGACCAAGGATTTGACTATCAGATAATTGCGATTATATGTTCTTTCCAGAACATCTTGCATTATTTAAAAAGAAAATCAAACTCCAGTCAAGTTGTTCAGAGGTTTTGAAATATTCAGATGCAGAGCTTCAAGCTTTAGCCATTGGGGTGCAGTGCAAAATGCTGCTAGCAGGCAATAGGCTCAGGATTTATTGCAGTGACTGAATTTATAAATACAGAAAGTTCACAGAAAAGCCTGATCTTGTGAAATTTCAACCAGCATTTGCAAACAAAGAAGCCATAGATTACATTTATAATAAATGGATGCATATCTGTCCAAATGTTTAATAAAGATACTATGTGAGAAGCATGAAACAAGTCATTTTCCTCTGCAGTAACAATATATTYCTTCTACTGTATACAGGACAGTCAGAATTGTAGTTTAAACCTTTTGAAGTTCCTATTATTCAGAAGATGAWACTTTGACAACAATTATACCCAAAATACAGGTATTAGACTCGGAATTTTCAAGTCAGATGAGACTAAAATTTGTTAATGATTGAATTCTCTTTAATTGTTATTGATATATATGCACCATTTAAATAAGATCTTGATACTAAAAGGTAAGCTGAACTGTGCAAAATGATCCAGTAAAACATGTTTTTATAAATGCCCTGGAAGACATGGGGATGATGATGCCATTGATTTTCAAAGGTCAAATCACCTGTTTCTGGTTACTTTGGCTAATGGAGTGTGCACGGCCTGGAAAGGAGAGAGTTGCAGTTGYCATGTACCCTGACAGCCACCTGTTCCCTACAAGTGCTCCCTCTGGCTCCCTGCAAAGAACCAATCAAGAGCACATGAGTTACATCTACCCTAGCGCAGTAATGGTGATTTTCATCTCCTGCTTGGTCCCAGAGACAAGAGCACAACCTCCAGCCCCAAGATGACGCTCACTGCTCCTTCTGSGTCTGGCAGTCTGGTAAGATGAGTTGAAAATAGTGCTTCTTCCACATGCACTCATGTTCCAGTTGCCACTCAAATATATTGAAGAAGTTTTCTCTCTTTAAATGTATCTTCACATATCTGCATTTCAGATTTATGCTGTTGCCAATTCACTACATATTTTGCATTATACCAAATGCCTACTTTAACTATTGATATTTGGGCTCGACAAGAACAGGAGGGAAGTGAGGAGAGGGAAGAGACTAAAATGGCTTATGAATGTGTTAGTAGCATTTCTAAGCTTGGGTTTAGGTTTGGTTGAATCTTTAGCAGCACAATTTCAGTCTCAGAACTGGAGCAGTGGGTGCCTATCAAGACTGGGCAGTTCCCAGGATGGGAGGAACTGACCACACTGTCCCACTGCTGCTGCCCACACCTGGAGCATGAGGGCTGCTTCTCTGTAAGCACAAGTCTGCTCATTGACCTTGTTTGCACCTTTTCACTCAAGAACACACAGAGAAAATGCTTCTTTTGAGTCTAACCACTTCATCCTGAGAGGATGCAACGATGCATGTGCTTCTTGCAGCCAAAGGAATCCCAAAGCCTTGTGTTTTTGGAGGAGGTAAGTGATGGAAGGGATGGACCTGCAAAGGTAAGGACCATTCCTCAGAGCTAGAAATTACAGCACAACTCTTGTTAAGTTCCCAAGCTCCAGCTTTATGGATTACAGTGGAGCACCTCTGCCACCCTAAATGCTGCTTTACTGCTGCTTTCTGTACCAGGCAAGGAAATTCTACAGTACCAGCAAGCCAAAGATAGCACTCCGTAGGATGCTATTAGAACAGCAGAAGGTGAAGCCAGATGATGGAAAACACATTTGTTAAGAGTGTGGTGTGACAGACATCCATTCCTGAGTATCTGTTTAACATTCTTACACAGGGTTTTGTAACAGTGAGAGGAAGTGGTCAATCCTTTCAAATTTGAGAGWGCTGTGCTGGCACTGATTTCTGTGGCTGCAGTCATGTGTCAAGAGATTATTTGTGCTGGCACAGTGAGTTCAATACATGTCTACATTCTTGGTACTTAAATCTCAAAAACCTCACTAGAAGAGATGCCAGTAAACTGTTATTTTCTCTAAGTACCAGTTCTCCATAGATGTAATCATAGAAATAGCCATCGCATTTGTGCTAACATTGGCCAAAAAAGGTTGAAATCTTGGCCCTGTTGAAATCTTTGGTAAAGATTTGKCTGAGAAGTGCAAATAGGTTCCCACATAAAAATAAAAATATCGAAGGAAAAAATAGAGTTTGTGTAATAACAGTAAAATATTTTTGATTTTCAACATCCTTACTTTATAAAAAGTTCAAATTTGTTTGTGCTACGAGGAACTCCCCAAAAACAATTCACTCCTCATTTCCATAGCTACCTCCAAAACAGAAATACTGTCAGGACTACATTTTAAACCAGATGCTGGCAGAACTACAGCCCAGTTAGGTACCAGACAGCCCAGTGAGGGGTGGTGGGGCGAGTCATGCCAACTGAATTCTTTCTGGCAAACACAGGAATCTGGTTCATGTTCTTAAAAGCTGCTGATACCCAGGAGGGTATCCAGCCTTTGGACAGAAAGTTCTGTCTTTGCAGAGGTGATCTAACAAGTGCCCTGCTCTAACCAAAACAAGTTTGTTTCTTGGTTTTAATTGATCTTGGAAGCCAACTCTGTAAAACAAATACCTGTGGCACCAAATATGTAAAGCATTCAAAACACTGTGGAGCATCAGGTCCTTGACCTGTAAGCCATAGGAGATTCCAGAGCAAATGTTCCTAAAATTTGAGTTGGACATGCCTCATCTTTTTGATGACCACAGGAATTATTATTAGCATGTTACACAAAGATTCAAAAATACTGCCAAAAATTAAAGGTTAAGTGAGGTATTCCGGTTCTAGGCTCTTTACCTATTTCGCTTTAGAATTAGCTTCCATTTATTCATGATGCTGATTTATTTTAGCTGCYCTTCGCTGATTTGCCCAAACCGTGGGCAGCGTGAGCAGCGGCAGCAACAGCAGATGGCAGCACCAAGCTGCCGGATCAGGGCTGTCAGTGCAAACGGGGGAAAAAAAGGAACCGTGATAAACAAAAGTTTCTGAGAGTTTGCTTGCTGTCAGAGCTTCCTTTCTCCTATTCCTTTGGATATTTTTTCCCCTTCTGATATTCCTACTCACTATTGGGGGGGGGGGGGGGGGAAGAAAAAAGAACAGCAGATGAGGAAAGTTGCTATGTCAGGTCATCCTGTATTGATTTAGTAGAAGATGGTAAGACCTGATGTGACCTGCTGAATAGATGACATGAGGTTATGGCCTAGCCTACCAGCACTTCACGTCAAATTAAACACTCCACAGGGGCAACATCTGGAGGGTTAAACAACTGCTGGGTAATGCAATTTGAAATACCACTTCATCAAAGTAATAGACTCCACAGGACCCTCTTGGGATCTGTAAACTGATGTGTTCCAGGCTCTGTGTGCTGCAGCCCTTTTGTGTAACACATTAAGGAGACCCCGATAGCTCTCATTTTAGCAGAGTGATAGAACCGAGGTTTGCAAATTCATCTACAGAACAACGCTTTGCTGAGCCTTGCATCAAACCCATGGCGTTTATGGTTTTCTCTTCTTTTATTTTCTTCTCAAAGCTTGATATTTTGTGTATCCAAAATTACTGTGAGCTAAAGAAAATATTTTAAAAGAACAGATTTACTCTTGGGTCTCTTTTAATGGCAGTGTATGAGCTTCCAAAGGAGATCTCATCCATGCTTTCTGTTCTCCAGGAGAGTTACAGAGGAGCAAGAAAATGTTCTATGTGCTCTACATAACCAGCCAAACTTTCAATCTGAGTAACAAAAGGATTCCTCAGGCCCTTACCAGACCTGGCTCCTCTCCTGCATTCTTCAAATACAATCCCTCCAGCAACACAAATCACTGGAGTAAATGTGGTCTCCAATTTGGTTGACCATGGAGGCTGGTGCCACAATCTAGCTGCAAATCAGCACACCTGACAGTTCGTAGAATGGTATGCAATTTTCCAAAATAATTCCTTCCACTGTTTCAGAGCTGCTAAGCAACAATTAAGAGAAGTTCCATTAAATAATTAATCACTTTAGTCACATTGAATAATTAATCACTTTGAGAGAGGACAGCCCAATAACATTTTCTATCTCCTGCTAATGCAACACTTGCTTTCTGATTCTGAATCCAATCAAACCCTTAGCAAATGCAAATCCCTGCTTCTGGGCATGCAGAATTTGATAGCTGTCAATGACTGAACTTTGTCACTACCAGGAGCATATAGAAGGACACTTGGCAACTCCTTTCCAGGGAGAAAAATACAGAGTAAAGCTTGCAGCCGGCATGAGCCAGCATCATTTGGCCAAAGTCAATGCAAAGGCTTCAGTTCTTTCTGAGCCAATACCTGCCCTTGGTGCTGCCCTTGCTTGGAGATCCTTCTCTCTGCTTTATTGCAATCATTTCAGATTAAAGGGCAGAGGAAAATTCCTCAATTACCTGGCAAAGATTCAGTTCAAAAATTCTGGGTAATTTTCTTTGTGGTGCCTTTTAAAGAGGTATGTAGTCATAGAGGAGCAGGAGGAGTTCTGAACCTGGCAATAGCCACCACTGCCATTTTATTTTTGTTATTGGGTACTTGTAAACTTTTGGAGGTTAAAGAGAGACCAGAGAAATGTCTTGTGTTATCTCTGTCTCTTCTGAGCTATATAAATAATTTTAAACTACCTTAATGTCAACAGGAGCACAGCCCTAAACTACCTCTCAAATGCATGCTGCAGCATCACTTGGCATCCTCCATGCCATTCCTGCATTAAATATTTAGATTAGGCACTGCTACCTGCAGATAATTCTATTAGGTAACTTTGGAAAAGTAACATTTTTGAATGTACACATATGAAAGATGCCCTCCCCTCACTAAACTAGTTTATGGCCTGTGCTTTAGAAGCAGAATCTATTAAGACTGCAGGCATATGAGCTACTATAATTTACTTACTGAAATAATTTTCCATTACTCATTATTGCTTAGGAGACTGAGGCCCTCCATCTGTGGAGTGGTCTGTGTAAGAAAATGGGGAACAGTAGGGTAGCAGCATGGATTCTCCAAAGAATGCCTAAGTTTATTTATTTATTTCAAATGTCTTTCATGTCTTGGCTTTGTGCATCTTTTCCAAGAAGCAAATGCTTCACAGATGGAAAGAAGCAATTTTCAGTTGTAAAAATTCTAAACAGTTCAGGTGAAATGAAAAACAGAGCTTCCTGGGGACATGCCAGCTTTTTCTTTTTATTCACTTTTTTTTTTGTACCAGCCTCACTTTGATTGTGAAAATATTCACCCACTACAGACTCTATAGTATGAGAAATGCCCTTCCTGGGGTCTAATCCATGCCTGAAGTATCACTGCAGATTGATTAGAAAGGAAGGCTCCTATTTCCACATAGACTTTGCATATCTGCTCTGATTTTCTGCAGCATGGATCCTCACTAGCCCTCCTGCAAAAATTGAGTCTTATGTAAACCAAGCTTATACTGATATAACTCCTTTTCTGGAGCTATGTTGACACCAGGAAAAGGTCWAATTTGTCCACTGATACTCAGTTTTCTGTCAATTCAAAAGGTTAGGTAGTGAAATTAGGGAAAAAGATCATGGTCGATTGGTGAGCAAGAGAATTGAGCTTATTTTTGGATTACTCCTGCTGATAAAACCTTTTAGGACTTAATGGTAGATCAAATTAGTGGGAGCTTTAGTAAATACCCTCATAACCTTTGGATATCAAACACTGTCKAGGAGGCAGTGAAATCCACTGCACAGTGCCGATGGGGGGCTTAACTCATCCTCCAGGATATCTGCCTTGGAGCCAGAGACCCTACATGTCCATGGCCTCCTGTGTATAGGCTGAAGCACAGCAGAGGACAAAACAGTATTTCCCTTGTGCTGCTGGTGGCCATGAGGATGGAGCTGGAGCAATCCCCACACGGGGCAGGCATCTGCAATGAGTGGAACAAGCACAGGGCACCGGAGCAGCTTCTGAGTGCTGAGGAGGTGGGTCCAGTTCCCTGGGCTCTAATTATTCAGGACACTCAGGATCAGTCTCAGAAGGTGGTCTGCAATTATTGGTGCTGCCACGGCTTGGGGACCACAGCTCTGAAACATCCCAATGCCGAAAGCTCAGTCACTGTCGCCCTTTGGATATTGCAATGGATTTTACAATGTGCATTTGACAAGGATGTCATGCAAGGGTCCACAGGAAGAGAGTGACACACTCAGCGGTGGGTGCTGAATCAGGGTCTGAGTGTGTAATCCAASGTTATTTGTTATAAAGTCAAGGACATTCCCTTAAAAATGTTGAGTTGTGCAGGAAATGTCTGGTTACTTGTGTAACCTCTTGCAAGATATACAAACTCATCAGGATCTGCCTCCTAAGTCTTATGATAACAATGCATTTTCTTCCAGACATGTTCAATTGCATATCTGATACACATTTTGCTCAGCCAAAATGACTTGTTAGTGATTTATTTGGAATATTCAGCCTTTACCATATGACATCACCTCCTCAACTTGATGAAAAAAAGGTTTAGACTGAATTCTTCCCATTAAAAATAATGGGGCAATGGTTTCTTGATGCCAATATTTACTGATATCAAAGCAAAATATTGTCTTGGTTATTTGTCTTAATTTAGCCCAAGCAGTACACAAAGCACAGTGTACAAAAACAATATGTTCCTTCTTCTAAACCAGATCATCACTTACTAATTGCTATATGATTTGAATGAAAACAGAGGAATGATTCAGTTATGCTTTATAAAAATTATCTCACTATATTTGTTTCTTCTCTTAACCTGATTGATAGAGGGGCCATATAAAATTACTTTGTATATCTGCCTTTGCACAGAGTCTCAGAAGGATTGCTTTTGTTGTCCTTTATCCAAAATACAGGAGAAGGAGGCCCAGATCCTTTGCTAAATTCCATAAGAAGCAGTTACATTATGCATGTGTAACTGTGYATGTACAGGTAGTAAAATACATAGTGTGTGTGTCTCTCTGCCTGTGCGTGCCCACACATAAGTAATTAATTTTTATGTTTTAATTAAAACTTACAGATCACAATGGTATTTAACCATTCCTAAAATTCAGGTGTTAGATTTGGATAGGTTTTGCACAGACCATTCAATGCATCTAAATCCAACATAAAAATCCAACCTAGCATTAGGGCAAATTCATGTGAGAACTGGTAAGCCCAGAGAGAGTCCCTTGCTTTTGAGCATGGAGCTGAAGGCATACAGAGATGTGCCTTACCATCCTGTGAATTCTGTTCTGTTTAGAAACATAGGTGGAAACCTAACAGTTGCAAGCTCAGATAAAGCATCACAGAAAAAATAATTTCAAGTAAGGACTGACTTGCCAATACCTGGAAGACTGTGTAAGAGCTAGTCTGCTTCCAGCACACTAGAAAAAGAAGACTCGAGCCAAGATTTTTTACTGAGGACTCCAGGACACATTTGACAATGAATGAAACTGTCTCTTCTCTGTTGCCTTTCCATTGCTTAAGAAATCTWTATCAGAAGTTACAAATACCTTTTTGTCAGACCTTCCTACCACAGCATCCCTTTTTTACAGCCATTCAGCAGATCGTTCCTTCCATCTGTATCAGGCAACTTTTCCTCCTGCCTCCTCTTGAGCAGTTCCTATTCCGGGCTCCTGCATGAGGAGAAGTGAGGTGCAATGGGAATCATATTTGTTTAGTGATGAACACAAAGCCCATTCATCAACAACTTTTGGAATTCAGGGACTACAAATAAGCCCAAACCATGCCATACATATCCAAAATTAACGTTTAGACATAACTCACACGTTACTTTTGTGTGGAAGGATAAGGGAGGATTTCTGCTTGGTTGCCACTAGATGGAGTGAAGCCAAAACTGTAGATTTTACTAGTCTGGTGATGGAAACACATCCTTTTCCCTTAGTGGTTTAGTTTTCTGTTGGTTTGTTACGTTGCTTTTTTACCCTTAAGGAGGTCCATTAAGCTGAGACCTAAGCCTGTCTRGTCTGGAGTTAAAGAGCCCTGTTAATGTTGGTGTGCTGCACTGATTTGTAACTACAGGTTCACTCAAAGGATTGATGACACTTGAACTTTCCATTCTGTACACCGGACAACTGAGATCAAACTCTTAAAAGACTGATTCCTTTCTTTGTCTTCCAGCACCTAATTCAGATGAGTAAGTAAGGAGTTTCAACTACAGCGAGGGTCCTCAGTGCTGTGACTATACAGATACAAAGATTCTATCTTTAGGCTTCTAGAGTAGATCCTTAATATCTGGTGGTGCCAACAACCTTCAAAGAGTTTAAGCAGTCCATCTTCCCTTTTTCTCGTTCAGTCTGTTAGCACACCTTTTGCACTTATTCATGTGTGCATCTAAACTCTCATACTCCGTTCAACCAAATATATACTCATAATATATGGGGAAATAATGAAATGTTTCTCTTTGGTGTGCAGTGTATCAATCACTGTTTTCACAGCACAGCTGGTATTCCCTGATGTGCTCAGCATTGCCCTAGTTTTTTTCCAACTATGGGAGTTTTTTATTGCTGTAAATGGMAGGTGACAATAAGACAACAGTTATATTTTCTGAGTATCTTTTACATACAGATGTKTATTTTGAACAGCACTTTGAATGGGAAGTCTAGCTACATAAAGTTCATTACACTGTTGTTTTTTAATTATATCAAATCTGCATTCGCCTTAAACAGCTGAAATCCTTGAAAGTCCAAGGGTGTTTTAGGTACTGTTTTGCTTAGAGAATAGAATAGAATAGAATAGAATAGAATAGAATAGAATAGAATAGAATAGAATAGAATAGAATAGAATAGAATAGAATAGAATAGAATAGAATAGGACTACTTTTGTTAGAGACCTACAATGATCATCTTGCCCATCAGCCTGACCAAGGGCTGACCAAGTTAGCAGATGTAGGTGTTGTACAAATGTCTCTCAAGCACTGAAAGTGTTTGGGCATTGAACACTACTCTAAGAAGCCTATTTCAGTATTTGATCACCCTTCCAGTATCTACTAAAGTCGTAAGAACCTTTATCTCCTGCTACATCTTATTTTGCAAGAAAGTAAGCAATTCATTCATACTCTTCCTTGAATCTGAATTTTAAGCTATTTTTTACCTTTGTTTTTCTAAAGCAGGAAACATTACTACTTTACAAACTTTGAATGCCTTCTGCTAAGCAAATGAAAACTCTGTAGATCTCTGCTACTGCTAATATTCTTCCAGATGAGGCTGCTTCTTTGTTACTTCTTTTCCAGTAAGTGAGGCTCCTTTTTACAGAACTCAGTCATTAAATTATTTAAGGCAATAGCTGCTCAGAAATCCAAATACATCTCATCAAGAGCCTTTTAAAAGAAAATCTTGTTGAGGAATGTTTCTGCTTGAAGAATATTCTTGTATTTTCTCCAGGAAGTTTTGAATAGATTCAGAAAAAAAAATTAGAAGCTTTCCAACATCAATGTATCTATTTTATTCTATTATTGTATTTTTGCATATTTTTAAGGCAGCAATGAAATTATTAATTACAACACAACAAGGGGTTATAAATATAATTAATTGATTGATTGTTTGACTCTAAACACCAGTTTGTTTAGATTTTAAAACAGATTAGAGGAAATTAAAGGACAGCAAAAAAAGTTGACATTTCAATGCAGAGTGTATCAATTTGAAACAAAACCACTGTTTCTGTCTGAAAGAGTATTTCAATCTCTTCTAGAGAGTTCCCCATGTCAAGTGTTTACCTCTCCATGTTGTGCATACACACTTCAAGACTGCCAGGGTTTAATAATGAAAGACAGATAGTGAGTTGTGCAAACAAAGAYGATTTTTTCCATTCCAAGACTAGTTGGAGCAGGACAAGAGTCAAACATTCTCATCATGGACGGGAGAGGAAGAGTGGGCAGGAATATAGGCAAGAAAAAGACAAGGAAATGCATCAGTAGGCTAGGCTTCCTGCTTCTGGGACTTCAGGGGGACAGGGAAAGTGATCCCAGCTGGGCTRCCTCCAGCCCAGGGCTATGACAACTTCCCACATCCCAAATCTTTCTTCAGCAAAGCAGTTGAAACATCCATCTTAGATCTCTGGCACAGGCAGTCTGATTTCTAACCAAAAGACATGAAACTCTCAGCAACCAAACTTTTCTTACTAAAACTTTAAAGCTGGATGAAGCTGTCAAATCATGACTTCCCAATAAGGAGTTTGGCAAGGCTATCCTGAGTACTACAGGACATTTTGATGCAAAAAATAAAGGATTCATTGACCCTTCTTCACTAATTATTTTCTGATCATGCGATCTCCCTCTTCTTTGACAATTGTGCCATAATTTGGTTCAGTATCACATCTTACAAACATCAGGTACATCAGTGCTTGAAATCGGCACAGACTTTCTTTCAGGGCTCTCACACATCTTCTAACTATTCCTCATCCTTTTTTTCTTCACAATAGTGGGCACCACTGCATTAAAAATACGCTAAGAAGAAGTTTGTGATTATTTGTTGTGTTGATTAAACACTGACTGCAGCCATTAGTATCCATGTGCATTTCTAATCTACATGGTGGGGGTATCTACAACAACTACCTCACTCCAGTTTCTTAAAAAACACATCAAATACAAAAGTCTTTGTGAGCTTTTTTGATACTCAATGGAGAGAAAGAAGCACATTTATAGGGCAAATAATTATTTTTGATGCCACATGTGAGGCTATGGTACCAATAACTCCAGGGGTATCTTTTTCCTTTGGCCAGTCACAAAAGTGGACCTAGGTGACTAACTTAAAGTAGATAAAGTAGATAATTAATACTTTAGAATGTAAAATTGTGTCAGATGAATCCCAACAGCTATGTCGTAACTTTATCTTGCAGTGAAACTGGGGCTTTGGCAAGCAAAAATCTCCGTATTGGAATATAGCTATGCATATGCCAATGCATATGTTTTTAAATACTAATGAGTCTATCCAACCCATAAAAGTACAACTATATTATTCCAATAATATTCTAACAACACAATAAAACAGTAATTCTTTGCACCAACTATGTTCTCTTTTTTTTTTTTTTTTTTTGACCTACCTTTCTATCTCCTCATAGTCTAGAAGACATCACTGTCTAAATATTGGTATGTGATCATAATTTTTTTAACTTATTGAAGAAAAAACATTTGGAAACATCTTGCTCTCTTCATTGCACATTGTCTGGCAATAATCTATAGTGCAAAGAGGGTTTCAAAATTGGGTTGCTTCCCCTTGCTCAGCTTGTAAGCCTCAAGTATATAGTGAATAGTTTCGTAGCTGTGAAATACCATTTCATTCTAAGGCTGTAAAGAAAATTGCTTCCTCCACTGTTGTTGAGCCAGGACCACCAAGCAAAGGGGAGAGGGGATCCTGCTAGGAGCTGCACTGGCTGTGCCCGAGGTCAGCGCAGGGAAAGTGGGGGTCTGAGGCTAATGTGCACATAATGTTTGCCCCCAGCATGTTTGTGCCTGGCAGCACAGCAGCCACAGCCTGTGCCCCAGACGGATACAGCCCTGGCCATGTGTCCTTGCCATTCAAACCTGTTATTCAGCCTGGCCAGCCATGAAGGAAAAATTATGCCAGTGAAAGTGATTCTTTTTTGATACGGAAAAACGTCAGAAGGGGCTCGGATAAGATTAGAAAAACAATTTCCTTTGCTGTCCAAACACAAATTTTAAGCCAGGTCACTAAAGGTGAAATGTCACTACACCAAGTCATGTAGTTTTGACTTCCCAGTTAATCCTTATTTCAAGGTAATGAAACTTAACTGTCAGCTGGAATACCATGTCCAACCCCAGTATCTACACCTTCAAAAGGATTTTGAAAAATTGGAAAGCATGCAGGAAACCACTTCAGGAATCCTTTGTGGACTCTTTAATCCAGCAGACAAAGGCATAACAAGATCCAGTAACAGAAAGCTGTGTTTTGAAATATTCAGATTTAAATAAAGGTTATAAGAATTGCATAAGCAGGGAGGGACTTATTACATTATCCATCACTGCAAACTTTTGAATCTAGACTGGTTTATCTTGTAAAAAAGATCATCCTTTGCTTAGCTAGAACTATGGACCTGAAGCCAGAGTTTCAAGATTTTTAAGATTCCTCTTGGCTCTTGATAAGCCATAAGTCAATGTGAAGTAAGGTACTTACTACTTTCAAGCATTATATCTCATGTCTTCTCTATTTGAGCATGCACTTAAAAGTTGGTACAAGTCTCATGCCCAAAGGAAAACAGCAGCCAAGCTTTAGGCAAACWTTGATCTTTGGTTATTTTAAACTATGGGCTTTGATTCTTATAGATAAGAAAAAATATATTGTGGTGGTATTTTTTTTGTTGGTTTTTTTGGGTTGATTTTGTTGTTTGTTTGTGGGCTTTTTGTTAGGTTGGTTTTTTTTGGCGGGGTTGGTTTTGGGTTTTTTTGGTTGGTTTGTGACTCTGTGTGCATGTATATGTGTGTGTGTGTGTGCGTGCGTGTGTGTGTGTGTGTAGTAGAGATGTGATTTATGATCCAAACTCAGATACATGTCCAAAGTGCTGGGGAAGGGATGCTGCAAAGAACAACTATCGATAACAGTTTGCTCTAGGACGCTTTCTTTCCATACTTACTCAAAGACGACTTGTAAATCAGAAACTA